AGCTTCATCGCCTGCGCGTTTAGAAATTAGCATTTCCGTAAAAGAAATGTTTAACACCTTCACAGACTATTTGCAAGCAGGAGAGGTGTGTTTAACACCTTCACAGACTATTTGCAAGCAGGACAGGGGGCCTGGATGCTACACATGATTACAAGCACCAACTACATAGCGTTTGGTTGGCAGAAATGTAACGGGATACGATTACGTGGGCAACGAGTTGCATTTGTTGGGTGTTTGTTTCAGCCCCCTCTGTAATCAGGTGCCGCGTTATTTAATACGGACTAGCAGACAGTTGAGGGCACATCCATCCCTGTTCTTATTTAATTTTACTGACGTGGCACCGTGTTTATCGAAGAGAGAGGGATTAAACGAAACCGAGTCTAAACAAGACTCGGTGTCTACTCGTGAATGGATGCGTAACTCGTAGCCGGCATTGGGGAGTTCTCCATCGTTTCTTCAGATCCCGTACGCCCGGCTCCACTCCCCATCGCCGCCGCCAGCCATGACAATCTCGCGAGCCCCTTCCGGTGCTGCTCTTCCCGCGCGCTCGTAACTTCCCGCGCGGCCCCAACCCCTCCGGCGCGCGCCCTCAAAATTGGTTGGCGCTGGTTCATACCGCTAGCTGGCTCCATCCTGAAGCGTCAATCACGAATTCATACCGGTAGCTGGCTTCCATTCAAGGTACGCACCCATATCTCCCATGACCTAGCCTCTCCAATTGATCTCCTCCCCAACAATCTTTAACCTAAATCCTCCATACACCAATCTTTGAATCAGGGGATGAATCGATTAACAAAATCAAGCAATCGATCGAGGCAGTGGTGCCCATGGTACTTGTTCTCTGTCCGTCCGAGGTATGAACTGTGCATAGCAGGGGATCGTTAACTGATGAATATCTAATTACATATTTGCAGACTGCAAGTAACTAAATCTGCAGACTACTCGTATTTCTATAAGGTAACTACTCATATGTACAGACTGCTATTTCCAGTCTTCAGTAACTGATTCTTTTTTATTTCTGTGATGAGTGCTAATTTCAGTCTCCACTAACTGAAACTATTTAATTTCTGTGAAACTGATCAAGTGCACAGCCACTAATTTTTTTGCAAGTGTGAAACTGATGTGCATTATTTTTGCATGCAAGTGTGAAAGAAATTATAGATGATTTAGGTGATCATCTAGTAGCTGAAAGGCAGTCCCTTGATGTCCATACGTGCACCACAGTCGGCTAAGCACAAGCTATTTTCAGAACAACAAGAGGGGGCAAAAGTTTGGGAATCGAACTAATTAGGTAGAAATATGAATTTATATATAACTGTGCATGGCTGCCATATATACATATTTCTCTTTTGCAAATCTGAACTGTGCATAGCTGCCATATTTCTCTTTGCAAGTCTGACCTGAGCAAATCTGAACATTCAACAGCCCATAATATATTTCTTGTTTATTGACTACCTCATCAAGGCCCCGTTCGCTTCGCTGAAAAAACAAGCCGAAACACTGTTCCGGCTAATTTGTTGTGAGAGAAAAATACTGTTCCGGCTAAAAAAACAAGCTAAAAAAGACGGATGATAAGAGAAGCGAACAGGTCTTTTTCAGGCTGCTCAACTGTGGAAAAGATTTCAGTTTGTGTCAGTCCTATTTGGAGTTGCTGTGGACATGGGCGTTCATGTGGAGGACGAACGGCTTGCTATGTTTTTTTTTTCGGCATTGCTATGTTTTGTCGATTGTATTTTTTAAACTTATTACCAGCGGTGCTACCTACTTTATTTGAACTCAAATGATGTATCTTCGCAGCTACCTACTTTACTTTGAACTCAAACGTTGCTACCTATTTTACTGGAAACATTGCTGCCTATTTTATTTTGAATTCAAATACGATGCATCAAGAAAGGCTATATAATGTTTGGCACAGCTGATCCTTGTTTGTTTGTGTCGTATACAACTGTTCATTAAATTTCTTTCTTTATGGAAACTATTTGTATAAACTTGCATTGATAAGGATGGTTTCTAGTTGTGGAGTCTTTGAGCTATAAAAACTACGATAGTTTCTAGCATTAGGAGTAGCCTGATACCGCTCAAAGTGGAATGGGATGCCGCTCATTCTCGTCTCTTCTTCGCGTGGGTGCGGGAGCCGCTGACACAAACCGCCTGGTTCTGCGTCTTCACGTGGGCGTGCAGGAGCTGTAGAGAACAGAAGGCGCTCGGTGCCGGTGCTGGGTGCTGAGGACGCGAGAGTGGGTGAAGCGTTTCCATTACCGTCTAGAACCAAACAAATATTGTGATCTGATACATTGTTTACGTTTCCGGTTTTATTGGATTCCATTGCCGTTTACATTTACACTTACCAACCAAACAGCACCTATATACGAGGAGCTGGCATTGAGTCAAGTTGCATGTTATCCTATGAAGTTGGGCTGCAACAAAATATATGGAAAGCATAAAGAACAACATCCTCGTATCGCAGGTAACCTTCCCGATCATAGAAGCTAATATTAGTATCGTTGGACCAGTGAGCCTAAAACCCCGTGACGATCGTTGCTGGTGTAAGTTGGAAACAAACGAAAAATGGGTCTACAATCTACATGAATGCTGCTTGTGCAGTAATCCAATGCTGTGACAGCAACACAAGTGGCCCCGTTCGGCTTACCTAAGAGCCGTTCGGCTTCTTTTTTCAACCGAAACAGTGTTTTTCTCTCACAACAATTCAGCCAGAACAGTATTTTTCAGCCAGTTTCAGCAAGCCGAACAGGGCCACTAAGCACGAAGGTCTGACAAACAGTCACCAAAACTTTCAAATGGCACAGTACACATCATAAATACTCTACATGCTAACTTTCACTTGATTCATTGCTATTTACTATATCGCTGGAACCAATTCGCTTCGTGTTTTTCTGTAAGCAATGTTAGAACTGTCAACTGAAGATAAGCAACAACCTATACAAACAAAAATACAGACAAATAGTCTCCAAATAATTTAGAAGAATGGTTACATTAATGTACATGGATAGTACACTGACCACCATGGTTCACTAGTAAAAGATGAACACTTTTGAAGGCCCTCCACATAATTTAGTCACTTAGGTACAACAAGCTGACGGCCATCAAGCTTCCTATCTTGAAGCAGACACAGCTTAGCTGCAGACGTGTCATACAACAATGGTAGTGAGTTTCACAAACTCTCAGCTCTTGAGTGGTACAAAGAAGTAACTAACTAAAACCAAGTGAAGACTACATAATCATGGAATAATCACAAGCTTCCTAAGGGCACTCACAATGCAGAAACTATGGTAGTTTCTATATATATTAATTGCACTGCCACATTAGCAATTTGTTGATGTGGCAAGTGATTTAATGAGGAGTGAGAGGAAAAATTCAAGAAACCAAGTCTAACTAAGAAACTAGGTCTTCACGGATATCGATGGACAAAAAAACTACCCGTAGCCCATTGGGTGAGCAAACATGGTTTCTACCACTACTTATGTCATGTATTGTAGGAAATCTTGCACTGGGAAGGATAGTTTGGTACGATGTCCTACACTATAGAAACTGTTAATAGTTTCTTGCATTGGGAGTGCCCTAACAAGACAAGTAGCAGAAAAGCAATCTCCCAGTCACGGCTACTAGAAAACCTGCGGGCAGGTGCACAACAAACAACAGGCCAAAACAACAGGTCATCATGTATGTGACCTATTGTTCCTGAGCATTTGGTCACTTATATGACCAACTGCTCAATTACATATGATTTCAGTGTTGAACTCCTCTCAATAACAGTTATCCTCCTGCTATTCCACATACTTCTTAAAACTGTTTCCCAAACAAGTACTAACCGATTTGACTGTGAAGAACAAGAACCTACTATTTTACTTCTAACTCAAGCAATGTGTTAACTTAACCAAGGGAGGAGCAGAGAACATATAAGAAGCAAGATGCACAGCATAATGAATAACCAGAAATCCAAAGTGGTTTCTCTCCTCGATTACAAAATTAAGAACATGAAGATATAAGGTAAATACCAAGCAGATGTTATATGCACGCATTAGTTCAAGTTCCAAATTTGCTTTGTGGACATATTAGTTCACCTAAATATATTGGCAGTGAAAATAAGTTCAGAAAAGCACTCCAATAGTAGCTATGAACTCTCACTGATTTCTTGTAGTTGAAATGGCAACGAGAAAAGGTCCATTCAAGAAATATTTCATGTACGTCATTCCTTTAAATCATTTTCGTTTTCAAATTTCTAATATGGGAGCAACTGCTCTGTAAATGCTATGTGCACGAGCACAACACAGCCGGCACATCGAAATGCAACATATCACATTAACAATAAGCCTGTTCACATAAAAAGCGATAACATATCATGCATTTCGTGCAGCTGATCTTTCAGTAAAGAACTCCCACACTCATTAGTTTTTAGTTAGCAACATATCACTTGCAGCAATTGGCTTTTGATATATTACCTTCTAAGTTGTATTAATGCCATTGATTTCCTGGTGAAAGCAAAAGGCATCCTTCTCCTGCGCTTCTTTCGTCTCTTGCAAACAAAATGCAAAGATCAAAAGAAAAGGCACAAGGAGCATAAAGAAAACTAATAATGATGATGTTTTATTTTAAATTTAAATCCAACACACTGGACATTGTTTACAACGTACCAATCTGGAATATTTTACATACAGAAGTTCCAAAGGTCAAACTGGTGTAACCAATAAAAGCCAACACGCCACACCTTACGATGCAGGCAGATTATATTTGCTTTTATGATCAATCTGGACGAAGTGTTAATCCTGCAACAAAATTTCTATGATGGACCACAAGGAGAAACCTTATCCACTTAAACCGGCACCAAGCCTGCTAAAGAACACTATCAGTCGCTGCTAGACACCGACAAGATGTGATACTTCATGTCCATGTCACCTCACCTCAGAAGATATCTGACCTCGGGGATTCAGGGTGAAGCATAACAGTTAGTACAGACAGGAACCCAAGCAAGTGCTTCTAGATCAGCCAAAAAGCCCGCGGTTGCCTATGTTCCCTTGCAGTTCTTTCAAACGTTGCTCTTCCAGAGGATCAGGACTCTTCAGATACCGTTTGGTACGCCTGTGTATTTTCAAATTATATACGGAAAATCAATTTTGGCTGGATGAAATAGAACCATGTAACATTGGGCCAACGTGGAAGAGAAGGTTAAAAATTTACCTGTCAAGTTCATTAAGAGCAGGGAATGTTGGCATGAAGTCCTTTGATTTAGGCAGAGGAACTTCAGAGAACCATTTGTGCTTCAGAGCGTCGTCTGCTGATATACGCTGTACGAGAGAAAGTGTGATCAGACTGGTATGCATGATTATAATAAGAATCACAAGATCAAATGCCAACTTGAGAGTAAAAATTGCACCTTATCAGGGTCATAAGTTAGCAGTCTGTTCAATAGATCAAAACCAGCTTCAGACAGGATTGGTCGCCCAGAAAAAGACGCAGCTGGGAACTTATCCCTTAGCCTATTATACCTGACAATAAGAACAAAAAAAAAATGTTCTGTCATACAAAAATGACACTCAGTAAAAGAACAACAGTATAAATAGAGACACTTACGGTTGTTTGACAAAATTTACTTTCACACCTGGCAATTTAGCATAGCCAGGCCAAATCTTCTCATTAGGTGTGCCAAGTGTTCTAAATATCTGCCAAAGAAGCAGCTTCAACATGAGATATCATCGATAAAAGTTTATATCAAAAGCTGCCTGAATAGGAGTTCAGAGCAAATTAAATACCTTATCTAGCTGTTCAAACTCTGTTTTTCCATTGAATAATGGTTCTTTAGCAAGAAGCTCAGCCATTATACAGCCCACCGACCACATATCAATAGCGGTAGAATACTCCTTTGTTCCTAACAACAGTTCTGGGGCCCTGTAGCCACAAGGAGCAAGAAAGGTGAGTCCTTGGTTGACCAAACAGAACTCTCAACTGAATAACTTTAGAAGAAAACCAAAACACTGCTGAGGAATCTGATGTTGTCCGATGACCTACCTGTACCACAAAGTCACAACCAGTTGAGTATAAGGTTTTAATGGGCTCCCATATTGACGAGACAGTCCAAAATCACATATTTTTAACTCACCACGGTTATTCAGCAAAAGATTTGAGGTCTTCAGATCCCTGTAAAAAAGCTGGCCATGTATCAACAACACAATAACAGATTCAAGACTATATGTGAACAGAAAAAACAAGGTAAACAATAATAATTACCTATGAAGTACCCAATTGTCATGTAGATATTTTACACCCTCTAGCAGCTGAAGCATCAAACATTTGACCTCGCTTTGGGTATATGGTTGTTTCATGGTCTCCATGACACCTTTAAGATCATGTTCCATGTACTCCATAACCATAAAAATACTATCTAGACTACTTCCAACTACTACTTCCTTAACATCCACAATTGAAGGATGGTGCAAAGACAAGAGGATATTTATTTCCCTAAGAGAGGTTAATGGGAAACCTTCTCGCTCCTTCTCCATCTTTACCTTCTTCAATGCAACAATCTCACTTGTCTTCTTATCCCTTGCTCTGTATACAACACCATATGTGCCCTCGTTAATTTTGTTGAGCCTCTCAAACTCATCAACACTTCTGCAACCTTGAAGCATATTGATACACCTGTGCGGTGGCTTCTCTGGCTCAGGGGTTTCAGGTCTGCGTATTTCATTGTCTGAGTCAGTATCTGACATATGGTTTTCTGTATCACTGTCACTAGCATGCTCCCTGTCGACATCCATATAGTCATCTTTATCGACCTCAAAATCTACTTTCTCATCATTACCCATTTTCCCTGAGTCAGATGACCTAGACATTGTCCTTCCTCCGGAGACTTCACCAGGTTCTGGACTTGCTCTTTTCCACTGCCCTGCCACAGAGGGGTCTGCAGGAGAAACACTTTTCTTCTTCATTGGAGCTGCCCCATCTTCCTCATCATCATTAGCACCCGCCCATCTTGAAGTCGATATGTTCCTCATTGTTGGATACTCCTCTTCCAGCTCTGTCACCTTATTCACCTCATGTTCCGGCAACTGCAAAGCACTCTCTGTACCAACAGTAGGCTCTGCATCCATAGGTGACTTCTCCACAGCTAACCTCAGTGGGCTGTGGTCTTGCGGAGGCAGTGGCGGTGGCGGAGGGAGCTCAGAAGGCACAGGTTCTACCACTTTCTTGTCCCTGGTTGCATCAGAATGTGGTGGCTTTGGGCTATCCCTGTCCCAAATTATCGGTGAGAATTTCCTCTTCTTGCTCGGCGACGAGATCCCTGAGCCTACTGCCACAACGCCCTCCCTGATCGAACCGAGCACGCCATTCTCCCTCCCTCTATGCGGCCTCCCACCGGAGTCATCAGATGCGCTACCGCTCAGCACCTCGCCAGGCTCACGGTCACCAAGCCTTCCCGCGAGGCGGCTCCTGGGCGGGGGCGAGCGTCGGCGACCGTGGCCGTTGGCGAAGTCTCTACCACCCCTGCTGCGCCCGCCATCGCGGCGGCGGTCCACGTCGCGGTGGCGGCCGCCGAGATGGTGCTGCTGCTCCTTGCTCCTCCTGGAGGCCTCCGCGTCGAGCTCCCGCTCCCTCGCCTCGTAGTCCCTGTAACCCCCATGGCGCCCAGCGGCCATGAGCGAATCGAACGAATCCGCAGCAGGAAAACCCTAGATCCGTACCAAAAACCTGAAAAATATCGGCGTGATGCGGACCGGGGTGGGTTCGGATCTGGCCTTGGATCGAGCGTGGGCGCCGGTCGCCGGCCGCGCGGGGTGGCGGGCGCGGGGACGGTGGCGGCGAGAATGGTCGGGAAGGCAGCGGTGGAGGCTGGGTTGGGCGGCGAAGCGAATACGAGAGGAAGGGGGTGGACGGAAGCGACTGCTGCTAGGGCGGCCGCTCCGCGTTGTTACGGGTCGGCTCCAGGCTTTTTTCCTTTTCGGCCTTCTGAGAACCCGCGGGCACCGTGCATACCTGGTTTCGTGAGTGGATGACGGGTAGGGCTGCGCGTAGGGATGGTTGCGTGGGTCCAGGATGTCAGTTACTAAATGATTGAACACGTGCTTTTAAGACGCTTTGGACTGGGCCGCTGGTTGCTCGGAAACAGTGGGCCCACGATCGGGGTTTTTTTCATTGTATCAGCTACATAGGTGTTTAGGCTCTGTTCTCGTCATGTTCTAGGTCTGGGTTTAGGATATGTTCTCGTCATGTTCTAGGTCTGCGTTGTTCAAAGTTTGTAGTTTCGTCCTGTGTGTTAATGCTATCAATGAACTATGCCTACCTGTTTCAGAGAAATGCACTGATGTATGTTTCTCTTCACGATGTGGTTACTGATGATGGTGCCTGCTTTCTGAATGCATGCTTGGAATGGGCCTTGTTAAATCGTGGCAGTTGGATATTTTTTGCTTGCAATGGTTTTGTATTTTTTGTAAGATTCAATTCCCAGGAAACTGTTGATTAACGAGGTGGACACTCGGCGAACCAAGCCATGTTTGTCGAGTGTCAGGGCTGGGACACTCGGCAAACAGGCCATGTTTGCCGAGTGTTTTTTTCCTGTGGACACTCGGCAAATATGACATCTTTGCCGAGTGCCCGTGCCGTTAGACACTGGGCAAACGCGTCGTGACCGTCTTCTCGCCGTCACGTTACTTTTTTTTTTGCCGAGCATCGGTTTTAGCACTCGGCAAAGTCTTTGCTGAGTACCCGATAAAAACACTCGACAAAGAGACGTTTGCCGACACTGTAGATGCCGTGTGCTGTTTGCCGAGTATTACACTCGGCAAAGCCCTTGCCGAGTGTTTTTTGGGCTTTGCCGTGTGCCCGGGGCACACGGCAAAGCCACTATTTTCCGGTAGTGTGTTTGCTATCGTTGAACAGATGGATCAAAGTTTTGGGTTCAACTATAAAAGTTTCATGATTATAATGTGTTCAGTCATTAAAGTGCATGCCAATTCTTCTATTTTTCTTTACATTTTCTGAGTTGTTTCCCAATTTCTTGTTTTCTCATTCTTTTAAGAAGGTTTATTGAATTCTATGGCCTTCGATTTTATTATTTCAAAAGTTTGATTATCAATGGATTGAGTGATTGTTCCAAATGGGTAGCTAAGACATCCATATATAGTCATCAATACATGTGCTTCTAACTAAGAGTAGCTTTGACGTGGTTTAAGTTTCGATGGATCCGCTGGATGGGGGGGCTAACCAATTAGACTTGTGATCTATGTTTCTCCTACATGTAACACATGGGTAGCCAAACAAGGCCTAATAGTGGAGGATGTTTGACTAGTTTGTAACAGAAGGGATGCATATTGCTCTAATTGCTTAATATATGAATTGAATATAGACAATTCAGAGGTCCATGAAAGTACCTCATCACATACCTAGACCGAACAATGTATTACTGTGTAGCTAGTTTTCCCGTAGTTTTAGAAATATATTCAATTCAAAGACTAGGAAATAACAAAGGAGTGAATCAGCGGGTTAATGAAATAATTTGAAATATAAATGCTACCAAAGGAAATATATTAAAAACATAAGTCATGATTGGTCGCCTCTTGCCTGCCGCACTTTGTGGAGTTGTAGATGCCATCTACCATACAAAATTTTGACATACAAAAAACATGATTGTTAAATAAGTGGTGGCTCATTAGGCAATGAAGATGGTTTGTGGCAACAATTACTCATGAATAAGTGTGCCAAATACAAAACCCTTTGGCATGTCAAAAAAAATCCAAAGTTTCTCATTTTTTGATGAGTTTAATGAGGGTGAAAGATCAATTTTTAAAACTAGACAAGTTTAGGCTGGGAGAGGGAATCAAAGTCAGGTTCTGGGAGGATTTGTAGCTTGGAAGAGTCCTGATTAAGTCCCAATATGTTAACTTGTATAGTATAGTTCAACAAAACAGTCCACTATTGCAACAACTTTCGGCACTATACTACTTAATGTTTCTTTTAAAATAGCATTAGTAGGTAATAACCTGTTAGAGTGGCAGCACCTAGTAGCAAGATTTTTGAACGGTGAATTACAAGCATGAAGAGATGTTTTTTTTCTACAATAAACTCCTAGATATCTTGTTAACACATATAACTTTAGCAAGAAGAAACTGGAACTAAAGCAAGTTGTGTGTTTTTCTCTAAGAATGGAATAATCCAACACCTATTTTTTGATTTTTTTACATGCTAAAATTCTCCAGAGAGCGGATCACTTTGTACAAGAATGTAACACCCTCAGTGTTACACAGTAAACCATTTACTAAAACATATCATGAGCATCATGTTTATGTGTTAATGCATGTAATAGAGTGTGTAGATCAATTTCCGTAACTCAAAATGATCAACAAAAATGCGAACCGAAAGTTGATTCAATAGTCATATTATATCACTTAGGGTATAAAACCAATTTTTATTAAGCAAAAATACTATAGAACATGTATGTGGTACTTAAATAAAGTTTGAAGTACAAACTTTATAGATGACAATGAAATACTTGCGGTCGAAAAATGATATTACTAGCTAATATTTTCACTAGCTTAGAAATCGCAAATGGAAATCAAATTCAGCTCAAAAACTTAGAAATTTTCAAGTCTGCCAACAGTTAGACACTGCTATGTTTAGCAATTTATTGTGAGAGATTGAGTTAAGAAGTGGTGTAGTGTTATAGCTCGATTTGGTAGTCTCATGTGCCATCTTGAGCATGGTGAAGACGGTTTAGGTTTAAAAGCAATCGTTTGGTCGTGTTGAACGCTTTAAAATTCGTGCGTGTCACTGTTGAAAGCTCTAGTTTGGTTTTGGTTAATTGATGAAACCCTAAGTGCTAACCTAGTTTATCAAGGTGATTGTGAGATAGGTAACACTACTCCAAGTGATAAAGCAATTGTGAAGATCATGACGATGGTGATGGCCTGGTAATGATCAAATGTTTGAACTTGGAAAAGAAGAAAGAGAAAAACAAAAGGCTCAAGGCAAAGGTATAAATAGTAGGAGCTATTTTGTTTCGGTGATCAAGACACTTAGCGAGTATGATCACATTTAGGTTAGATAGCCGTACTATTAAGAGGGGTGAAACTCGTATTGAAATGCGGTTATCAAAGTGCCACTAGATGCTCGAACTCATTGCATATGCATTTATGATTTAGTTGAGTGCTAACACCCTTGAAAAAATTTGTGAAAATATGCTAACACATGTGCACAAGGTGATACACTTGGTGGTTGGCACATTTGAGCAAGGGTTAGAAACTTCACCGGCGGAGTGTTCCGACGGTGCCACCGGCGCCCTAGACAAAAAAGACGGAAGCCACTGTAAGTGACCGGACGCTGGCCTCGGTTGGACCGGCGCGTTCGGTCAGTGGCAGCAGATGGCGCGCGGTTTCGGTCATCGACCGGACGCTGGTCACGCAATGACCGAACGCTGGCAGGGTGCGTCCGGTCAGTGTTGATGTACGCTAATGTGGGACGCACATAGGAGACATTGAGTGACCGGACGCTGGGTGAGTCTGGTCAGGCATGACCGGACGCGTCCAGTCGTGAAATCTCGCGTTTGGAACCTTACCGGAAATGACCGGACGCTGAGGTCCAGCGTCCGGTCACTTTCTAACTGACGCATCCGGTCATCACTTGACCGTTGAAATCGGGAGATTGGCGTTTGAAGCCGATGACACGTGGCGCACATCGTACGATCGGACGCTGAGATCCAGCGTCTGATCAATCTGACCGGAGCGTCCGGTCAGCCCGTGTTCAGTGCAGTGAGGAGCCCAACGGCTCTATTTTGTGGGGGCTTTTATTTAAGCTCCATGGCCGGCTCAAGCTCGCTCTCTTGGCCATTTGCATTGATATAGCAACCTTGTGAGCTTAGCCAAAGCCCTCCCACTCATCTCCATCATTGATTCATCATCTTTGTGAGATTGGGAGAGAATCCAAGTGCATTGCTTGAGTGATTGCATCTAGAGGCACTTGGTATTCGTGTTTTGCCGTGGATTTTGCTTGTTGCTCTTGATGGTTGCCACCACCTAGATGGCTTGATGCAGCGGTGGAGGATTGTCACGAGTTGGTGATTGTTCGTGGCCATCTCCGGTGATTGTGAGGGGATTTGTACCTTCCCCGACGGAGCGCCGAAAGGTAACTCTAGTGGATTGCTCATGTCATTGAGTTACCTCACTTATGGGTAGGTTCTTGCGGTGTTCAATCGTGTGGACGAGGTTTGTGCAACACCTCTTAGCAGCCGAACCACCAAGTGTTGGTCGACACAACGGGGACGTAGCGTGTTGACAAGCACGTGAACCTCGGGAAAAAATCGGTTGTCTCTTGCCATTTGGCATTCTCTCGTGATTGATTTCATATTCATCTTGTGATTGGTTCATCCCTCTACACGGTGGTATAATCACCCTACTCACTCTTTTATATTCTTGCAAACTAGTTGCGGCAAGCTCTTTAGTGTAATTAGAATTGAGAGCTTGATTTGTTATTTAAGTTCATCTAGTGGAGCTCTTTAGTGTAGCAAGTTTGAGAGCTCCTAGTGAGTAGTATCATAGCAAGTTGTGTGTCTAGTAATCATTACAACTAGAATTGTTGGATAGGTGGCTTGCAACCCTCGTAGAGCTAGAGTAAGTTTGCATTTCGCTATTTGTCTCACTAATCAAAT